AAGTTTAAAATCCCTGAATTTGACAAGTATGATGGAACTGGATGTCCAAAAGCTCATTTGAGTAAATATTGTAACAAAATGGCTGCTTATGGAAAGAATGAACAATTGTTGATCCATTTCTTCCAAGAAAGTCTCACCGGACCTGCTGAGCTCTAGTATTCCACTCTTGATCGTAAACACTTGAAATCTTGGTCAGAACTTTCTTTTGCATTCTGGAAACATTATAAGTTCAATTCTGCTTTATCCACCACTCGTGAAGACCTCCAAAGGATGGAGAAGAAAGCCTCTGAGACTTTTAAAGAATATGCTCAACGTTGGCGCATTAAGGCTGCTCAAGTGCAACCTCCAATGACTGAATCTGAGCTCAGCAATCTATTTGTCAAGTCAATGAGAGGACCGTATCTGGATAAAATGCTTACTCATTCCTCTGATGATTTTGCAAAGCTGGTTCACATTGGAGAAAATATTGAAGACGCCATAAAGTCAGGGAAGATCCCAGATGCTAACTTATGGCAAGCTCTGATGGAAAATAACCAAGGGAATGGTCGTAAGTTCAACCAATTCAACCAGTTCAAGAAAGACAAAAAGGAGGGCGAGGTCCAAGCAATCATGCATACACCTAGCCAACCATATACCTCAAATCCTTATCCACACACTCCTAAAGGATACTCCCGTACTTCTTATTCAGTTCGACCATCAACTTACCAACCTTATCCACCTGCACCTTATCAGCAGTACTCTCCACAACCTCATCTATACCAAGCTTATCCACCAAGTCCCATATATGCCACCTACCCAGCTAATCCTCCCAAGCCATATCCAAATAGGCCAAATACTTTCGATAAGAGATTTCGAAAGATTGATCCTATTCCTCTCTCTTACTTGGATGTATACAACCAATTGACAGCTGTAGGGATTGTGACACCAATACCTCCTCCTAAAGTCCAAGATCCCCTCCCAAAAGGATTTAACCCAGAAGTTCAATGCATCTATCACAGTGGTGGAGTTGGCCATGATATTGAAAATTGTTGGAGTTTTAAACACCTTATTCAAAATTTGCTAGAAGAGAAGAAGATTGCATTTGACACCGCCATTAATAAGGCCAGTCCTAGCATTACCAACAACCCACTCCCAGAGCATGCCAACCCTGGTGGAAGCTGAAACAACATTTGTTATAGTTACTTTGAGGGGTTCATATGGCAAGAATTGAGTTCAAACCTCAAGGATTCTTGAAGTAAGGACCTATGTCAGTTGTCTCTGCTTTTCAGTTATTAGTAGTATAAGTAACTTGAATCCACCATTGATTCTGCCCAAGATCATGGTTAAAGTAAAATAATGGGCACATCCTTGTTAAAATTTCATGTGTTATGACTTGCTTGGTATGTTAGTACTCTCATTTCAAAAGTTAATATATTACTTTCTCATCTTTTCATAATTCCATTACACAATTTCCTTACTCATTTCCTTATTCAAATAATTCCTTGCTTCTTGATGGATTAAGTCTTTTCTTTCTAAGGATATGTTGATGATATCTCAATTCAAGGTCTATGATTTGGGCAATGATGCAAAAACAAAAAAAAAGGAGTGAGAAAAGCCACAAAGGAGTTCAAAGGTGGAAAGGTTCAATGAAGAAAGGCCATGTTTCTTTTCCCAAACACAAATATCATCCCTAGCTACCCACTTTGAGCCAAAATAAAAGGCAAAGATCATGAATAAAAGCCAAAAAGATCACTTCTTGGATACCCATATCATGAACCCGGGGAGTGTTGAGTGCAAAGTGAGGGGTATGCTATCTTAAGCTAAGTGATTGTCATCACTAAACAATGCTAAAAGTTCAAAATCTAAGGATAAAAGGCCATCTTTGATTACCCTAACTCCCAAACACTTAAACTCAAAGAGACTTATCTTTAGTCAACCAATTTGAGCCTAAAAATTGCCAACCTTTTCTTGGAT